TAATAATAATAATAATAATAATAATAAAGAAAAAGAAGGAGAAGAAGAAGAAGAAGATGAGAACTTTGAGATGGAATATTAATGTAACGATTAAACAATGATAATAACAAATGTCAAGGTTAGAGGTTCCACTAATGGTATATCAAACAAGTATAGTATAAACTCTTATTATTGAATTGGAAACCACACACAAAGGAGGTTCCAATCAGATTATATATTGTTAACATGATTACATTAGTCATCTTATTCAATTAATGCTAATACTTGTAAATCTCGTCAAGCATTCATGATTATAACTTATGTTAACAATAAATCAAGTTCCTTTCATAGCTCAGGTGTCGGTTATACCATACATTATGGGCTATGAAAGTGCCAAGCATTTGTTGTACCAAGTGTTATACAACATAAATCAAGATTAGTTATTTAACAAGCAAAGTATTAAAGAGTGAACAAGATAACAAATATAAAACATGTTAGTATCAAACATTAAAGTCCATATTAAGTTTACATTATACTTATTCTTACACCATTAGTGTAACCTTTTCACCTTGACATAATTAACTTAGCTAGACATAATGAAAGAAAGCAAAATAGATAAACAAAATAAGAACATAAAAGTTAACTAAGTAAAGGAAAGGAAATGAAAGGCATAAACTTAATATTAATGAAAACAAAGCATAAAAAATACAAAGAGAGAAAGGAAGAGCATGATCTTGATCTGGAAACCAAGATGCCTAAATGCATGGCAAATGCCTCCTTTTATAGGCCAAAAATGGGAACTATTGATTTGATGACTAATTGATAAGTGGGTGGCCAACTTTTGACTTGGTGACAATCCTTATCTTCTTTTGTCTGCCCAAAACGTCATTGATAACGTCAAAACTGGAGCCAGTTGCAAACATGAAAGTTGTGGGCAATTGTCTCAGCTTTCTTGTGTAAAAACTTCAGCTCATTTGGACTTCTAGAACTCCAGATATGGCCAAAATACCGAACAGTGCTCGGGCTGGAAGACAGATTCGGGCTTCTTTGTTGTTGCTACAATTTGGACTTGATAATGTCCTTTTTAGATCTTGGGCTCCATATGAAAGTTGTAGACTTATGTCTTACCTTTCCATCCATATAAATTAGACCTAAATCTGAAATCTATAGCTCCAGATATGACCCAATTACCGAACAGTGTTCCGGTTTGGATTGCACCACCATCTCTTTCTAAGTTTGGCCATCTATTTGTCCTTTCAATTTTAGTTCTTAAATTCATCAATCAATTCTTTTATTTATGTGATAGGCCTGCATTTAAAATGAATATTTACCACAAATTAAAGGTATCTTATATTATTAGATACGTTATTATAAAACATGCTTTAGTTAAGGAGTTATTGATACTTCAAGAGCAAAATGATGATATAAAACCTTGACAAAAATGCACTTTTAAGTATCAATCACACCCCCCAACTAGCTTATTACTAGTCCCTAGTAATCAAAGCATTAAAATAGAAAAATACATTGCAAATTCCACAAAGCAAGGTAGTCATCATTTAACTTCCATTAATCTATCCAGATAAACAAACTCTCGTTAAATTTATATATCTGCTCAATACCTCTTAACAAGATATTAATAAACCTTTCTTTTGTGCTCAATATATCAACACGT